CTGAGCACTTTGTCATTCCTTATAACAGTTTAATTTACTGACAAGAGTAATTTATCGTCAGGACCATCTCAGATGAGCTATTTTACTGAACATTAGTACAGGAGATGACACTAGAGACACACAGAATTTTCTCTTAGAGAGATGGTTCCTTTAAAAAAAAAACAAAACACATAAACCTACATTTCATGTTAAAATTCCTTCTGTTCACATCATTGAAATTAACTCCCAGACAGTAACACTCCACAGACAAAAGCATCACTGTCTAGAATGATATCAAAACACACACTTTTTCAATTTAGGTGGCAGACATGCTACTGGAGTTTAGGAAAAGCCGCACTGTCTAATATTAGTGCTTGCAAGACAGCATGACAGATCTGGCACGTTTTGTGCTTCTGACTTGAGGCAGATTATTTTTCTTTTTTAAAATATTTTCTTGAATTTCCAAACTGAAAATAGCAATAAGTTCAAGTGTTTTTCATCATGATCATAAACCAGTCGCATATGTGACTAAATCTAGGTGCCACAAAGCTGCACTTAGTTTAGCTATTGTCCTTTGGGGAAGAGATGACACAATTAAAACTACATTTCTAAACTACATAGTGGAATTCCATACGAAAATATATTTTAAAAGAGTTTTCCTTCCCTTTATGCACTGTAATAGAATTTCTTAATTTACTGCTTCAGACTAAGTCAATTTGATTAAGAGCTAAACCTTATAAAAATATCCACATCAGGGACTTGTACCAATTTGACAGAACTTTTTTTAAAAAATGAGTGCAAAAAGTAGGACTCATTTAAATTCTAACACCAAAGTCAGCCTCAAGGAAAGTTAATATTCAAGTTTACATTCTGAAGCCAGTTGGGTTTATTTGGCTTTGCAAATAATTTCCCAGACTTTGGTAGATACAATTTTGCTTAAAAACTTCCTTACCTGGAAAGCCACTTTTAGAGTGCGCCTTCATAGCCAGCATGAAGCTCAAGCACTAAGGTAGATTTTTAAAGCTCTCCTTTACACTATGTAACTCATCAGTCATTAATTATAGCAATATCATAGAATGGCTTTAGTTGGAAGGGACCTTAAAGATCATCTAAATCCAACCCCCTGCCTTGGACAAGGTTGTCACCCTGAAGATCAGGCTGCCCAGGTCTGCATCCAACCTGGCATTGAGCACCTCCAGAGATGGGGCATCCACAACTTCACTGGGCAATGTGTTGCAGTACTTCATAATTCTCTGAGTTTATTTATTTATTTTTTTTTCCTACCAACTTACCAAAATCTCCCCATCTCCCCTCTTTTAGTTTGAAGTCATTCCCTCATGTCCTATCAACATCAAATTGTGTAATTGGTCCCCCTCCTACTCACAGTCTCCCCTCAAGTACTGGAAGGCTGCAGTGAGGCCTCTCAAGATCCTTCTCCAAGCTAAAAAAGCCAAAAATCTTGTCCACTGAAAGATACCTTTTATGGCCAGAGCTTACTGAGACATTACTGAGACTGAAATTCTGGAAGCATTTACGTGGGTAAAAGTATAAAATTGTACATGTAATGGATCTTTGAATTCAAAACAACTAAAACTATGTAGGCAGACTTACTCAATTTTTAATAGCTTGAGGAAAAAAACAAATCGACCTATATTCGATAGTAGAATTCAGAGAGTACATATCAGCAGATAAATTTGGACATAAGAAAAACAGCATAAGACAACAAAGCTTTAATTTCTTAATCAGTTGTTGGCTAAGAAGACAGAATCTACTTCAAGATGGAAAATATTCTGGTCTCACATGTAACTTAATACTTACAAGTTTATGAGTCTATATAACTCTTTAGCTCATCAGTCAATTTAGCCAATTTCTAGGACAAGATGCTAAGCAGTACAGTAATTTGAGACACAGAAATTTATTAATATAGGACTTAGAAAGAAAGAGTAGGTATAAGTTTGAAGAAGAGCCACAGGATCTGCCACTGTTTTTCCAATCTAACTAAATAGTCCAGCAGCGACAGCATTTCAAGCAAAGAGTTTCCCTGAAAGAACAGTTTCTGATTAAACCAGCAACGATAAATCAGAGTATTCTCTAGTGCAATGCACTATTTTAGTCATATAAAATGAAAGAAAAGAATATGAACTGCTAGGTCTCATAGAACCTGTACAGTGAAAGGGAGTTCTTAAATCTATGGAGAACTATTCAACTGTGAAAATATTTAATTTCTATCTGTCTCTCTTTCTCTCTCATCTTTTAATAATATCCAAAATTTTGTACTTTTCATATTTTTGTTTTGTTATGCAGAAATGAAAAATGTTTCTAGTAGAAATATGATTAAGCATAATTGAGATTTAAGCTGTTCTAACAGTGTCAACTGCATTTCAATAGATAAGCACAATATATTTAATAACTATAATTTAGTACCAATAGCACTGTTAAAATAAGCACTGAAAAATTAAAATTGCTGAAATAAGCTTTACTTAATTTGATTCTTCAGCTTAGTGCTTATTTATGTATACATATGTCAAAATCTTTAATATAATCCATGTTTTTCTGACTTTTGGTCACATATACTTATGTGTGCATTTCCTGATACATTCTATTGTTTCCACCAAAAATATCTCATTTATTGCATGGAATAGGCATTGTCCAATTAACATTTTTTCTTCATTCTTAAATTTGCCTCCCTGGCCCTCATTAAAACAAACAGTTCAAACAATACACTGCATTTCACATTGAAGGTAGATCTTTGTAGGCATTCAAGACTGTTGGAATTCTGGGTTTACGAATAGGAATGAAGATATTTTAAAAGAACACAGGAGGGTCTTCAATGATTTTCTTTCCAAGAAAAGAAAACAAACAACTTTGGTATTTCATCCTACAAAGAGTGTAGTAAGAATACTATCATAAGCAGGTCAACAAAAGGATGTTGTCCTTTCCCCTTGGAGCCTAAGCAAAAGAGGCCAACACAGGACCGAATTACTCCAATTTGCTTCGTAAGTAGTCAGAACTGATCTTCTGGTTCAAAGTGCTACTAAGAGCATGATCATGGATATAACAGGTAGCAGTATATATGACTAATTGTAAATGACTCTGGAGATCTCTAAGGGGTGCTGAAGAAGCAGAACATTAAAGCATTTCCAAGAGATTCATCCCATGCTGTGAGAAAGTGCAGTCAGAGGTCAAAAGAAGTCATAACCTTCTTGTACAGCAAAAGAAGGATGTGCTCTTTTCAGAGCTTTTCTGGAATCAATCTTCCATGAAGATTTCAGAATGGCTAAAGCAGCCAGGAGGTATAAACATGGGAGAGAAGTGAAAAATGGACCTACACAGTTCATACTAAGCCATGAAGTCATATAAAAGCAAGTAATAGATGGACACAGAGAAGAAACTATTTAATTTTAAAACAATATACTTTGAGAAGTTTAAGTAGTAAACAAATGAAATTGGAATTTCTTATGTCTGCAATGAGTTTGACCTAGTTAGGTATTACTGAATTGGGGTTGAAATATTTCATTAATTCCTAAATGAAATTGCCTTATAAGGCTCATATTACCAGAATCTTTCAATTGATGATTATAACCCATTTAGGAAAAATTCAGTGGGGAAAAAAGGAAGGAGCATGTTGCAGTATGTCAAAAATAATGTCAACTTTTTTCTATATTATCAAAATTGCTAAACAAATAAGCCTTACTAAGAGCTATCATGGCAATAAATAAAGCAGTATATATAGAGCTCCAGATTACTGAATCACAGTAGACAACGGGATGATTGACTTTCTAAGCACCTATCTATCTCAGCCTAGGTGGTAAAAGATGCATTACTCCACCATATTTACCAGCCATATAAATTTTATAGGATAGCTTTATGAAGTTGGTAACAATTATGAGTAAAATCTATTGGGAGAAAGTAATTAAATGCAACTGATACTGGGAATTATTTAAATGCCCAGAATTTCTGCTAATGAAGAAGGCTATGCTAGCAAAAACAGACATAGAAGAGATGTGAAAGCATCAATTAACTAAGTAATGATTAACATAGAAAAGTGGAGGAGCTCTTAGTTATAAATGTAAAAGAAAGGAAACAGAAAATATCTAAAAGGAAAGAAAAATATAAGATGAATACACATGTGACTGATAAACCAATAAACACTTTTTGGTCACATTCAGGTGGCTGTATCATAAGCCTCACGTTTTCAGTGTATGTACACTAAGGTAAGGTTTACTACTTAGGGTTCTTTAATTAATTAAGGAAAGACAATGTAAATACATTATTATAAAATTTGCCAGCTACATAAAGATCAGAAGAATCAGTAGTACGAAGGCTATGTCAGGAATGAAGAATGAACTCAATTTCTTGGTAAACATATTGTGGGAAAATAATGTGTGTTTCAATTTTGCCAAACATCAAGAACTTAATTATCAAGAAGGAATGTAAGTCATTCTTCAGGATTGGGAATTCTAAGGAATGACAGAAATATTGAGTGACTTAGAGGTTAGTATTTATAATTATTTGAACATGAGTTTTCATTGTGGAATACTACAGTCTTTGAAAATTTTAGTAAGAAAATGCCAAGTATGATCAAAGACGTTATATTATATCTGAACTAACACTGAAGCCATCAGAACTAGATTATTGCATCCAATTATGTGTTCAAAGAAATATGATGAAAAATTATAAAAGTTTCAAAGAAGTCAGTGGAAGTGATTAAAGGACTGGAGAATGCGACTTATGGGAGAGAGAAAAAAAAAATTGGAAGAATAATTTAGTTTCCAAAATTGAGGGTTAAGAAGTGACATGATTGGTGATTAAACATACTTTCCTGATGAAATCTGATAACAGAGAACTTCTTAATCAGGGAACATTAATGACAGTAATCCCTTATTACTCTTCCCAAAAAATACCAACATTTCTGTGGGATGATCTCCAGTGATATGTACTTTAAAGCCTCAGAATCCTTTCTTGAAGGTAACTTCTGAGCCCCACATGATTTTAATTGTCAGTTTCAGAAAAAGAAATACCTTGGCAATTTTTACTATAGTCATCTGTTGAACACTTCATCCTGAGATCCGGCAATGAAAATATCAAGTTAAAATCAGGCAGCTTTCTACATTCCTATGGATATATCATCATGAAGCACAATCCTGACCTGCACTGTCACCTTCTGAGTTCCTTGTAAGTTTTCTGTGCTTTTCATCCATGTGACCTCACAATGTCTCAAAAGCGGGTGTGTACCCTAATCTGCATTTCATCATAGAATACTGAGTTGGAAGGAACCCACAAATTTCTAACTCAACTCCTGAAAAAATTTGGGCCCTTGTGGCATATCCAAAGTCACAAATAAAATGTGGCTGGTGACAAAAATAAAAAACGGATCACCTGACTTTTAATCACTGTTCAAATCACCATTAGAACTCCCTGCTATTAACACATATACAGTAATTAGCACTTACTTTGTCATATCTGCATTATAGTATTTACATGTACTACAGACTCTGAATTCCTATTCATAACTCTATGGTTTTCAACCTGCAATTTATTTAGCCAAAGAAAACAGAAATAATTCATCTAAAAACATTTCAGCACTGTGAGGTACCCAGTTTCTGGGTAATCTCAGACACTAAACTTCAGTTTACAAGAGAACATCAGTGTAAAAAAGTCAATTCTCCTACAAAATGTAGAGGAGAGACCAGGGATGTCTGAGCAGGGTTTTAAGGTTTTCAGTCCTAAACTCAGAGACTTAAGCCTCCAGCTTTAATCCTAGGCACTGGCACAGTGCATATGGAAAAGTTTCCATGTGCTACAGTTTATGTTCTAATCTAAACAGTACAATATAAACTGGTGCATGTGTTATTTCATGGATGACACAGTTTTCAAGTTATGACAGTTCAGTAGTGTCTCAGACTCTTGGTTCCCACACATTCCACCCCTTTTTCATTTTCCACAACTGTCATCAAAAGCAGCTTCAGACTGCTGGAGAACACAGAGAAAAAAGAGAAAAAAATATGTAATACATTTTGATAATAAATTGTGATGGATCTGTGTTATGACATTATCTGTTGCTATGATGATAGGTCAGGATTGTAGTTGGGCAGTTTAGAGCAGCTAGTTAAAGAAAACAAAATTATTCCCAGTAGATTTCTAAAGGCCATTAAAAGTAATAGAGAAATTTACTTTCCTCATCTTCTTCTCCAGCTCTCACTCTGACTTCTGCCATAATGAATCACAATGATATACAACTATATTTTTTAAAATTCATTTTCTCCAAACTCAAAAGCATATTTTCTTCAAAATACTTTATTTACCTATCATGGTGAGCATTAGATTGATCTAAAGGCCTCCTTACCTTTGGACTGTTGGGTGCTTTGCTTGCTGTTTCTAAATTAGTTTGATACTAGTCAGCTTATTTTGTATTTTCAATACTAATCCCATTCAGTGAGTAAATAAACACACACTTTACCACCTCTTCCTTAACTGAAACAAATTAAGAAACATGTTTCAAGCCTAGACCCTTAATTTTTCCCTTGGAATATATGCAGAACTGCCATTAATCCTCTTACCAGCTATTTACTATCGTGTACATTGATAAAAGTAGAAAAAGTAGTATTTATGTAGCATTCCCATATAATGAATCTGAAAATTTTTATTTAATATGTCATATGTTTTCTTTTCTTTCCGGAGGTGCAATTCTCAGTGCAAGTGGAACAAACAAGAAGTACACCAGAGCAGAATGGAAGGAATGCTCTAAAATATTCTAAACTAATGTTTTAGAGATGTGTCCTTAAAACAAAAGCTTTTCCTATTTCATTTGTTGTTAAAGTCACTAAGTCAAAATACTTGATTGTTACAGATGCTTTGAAGAAATATGGAAGTAAATTTTTAATTGACTTAAAATGCAAATATCAAGCTCTGATCTAGGCACTCAGTTGTTGAGTACATGATGCAACTCAAACTCCACATATTCCTTTATGGTTTTAATCTAACACACCTACTAACAGTGAAATGAAATCATTATATTAGTGTGTTGATGTATGTTTTTCAAAGTACTTCTAATTGTGGAAAAATACCATAAAAGTACATTGGAAAAAAAATCAATTTTGTGTTAGAAATATTGCACATAGCTCTGTATGCATGATATGTGTGTTCTCTTCCTGGGTTCAGGTCAGTAAAAAAAACATATAATTAATTTTTGAATCCTAAAATCCGATGAGTTTATCTGATGAGTTATCTATAGCTAAATGGCATGTCACCATACACTCTAGATTTGTTAAAATATTACTAACATTTTCTGAAGTGAAGAAAAATGGGATTATTTTAACTGTCAGCCATAGGTAAATTTATTCTCAAAGTTTCTCCACTTAAATTTAACTGAGATTTTCTGTTCTAATCATCAACATTCAAGGCTCATGTTATCTCTCTAGCATTTTAAGAGAATAAAAGGACTATAATGGTAAATTGAGAAAAATAACTTCTCTTTCTACCCTTTACTATATACTTTAAAAAATGACTAAAAAAACACAACTAGTTGAAGCACAACATCTTGTTTCAAAGAATGTAAATAACTCAGAGCAAGCTAATGATCCCTGGCTTTGATCATGCATATTTCCCCCTGTACACATAACACAATCAAACCATCAGGATTATTCACGCAAGTAGAGGTCTTTTGTTATAATAGAAGTTATCAGCTTTGTGCCTACAACTCCTGTTTAATAATGAGAAGACAAATGCTTCCACATCTCCAAGGTTTGATTTTGCTTCAGTAAATGAAATAGTTTTCAATCATCAGTAGAAAAAAATAAATGTCCTTGCTAATGCCTATAGTACGAAAGAGTCTACACTTCTAATTATGTGATGTATAAGGGAATGGTTTTATTTGCTTTTTTTTTTTTTTTTGTAGTAATGATTGTACACTGAATCAGTCACTATTATGCCTATATACAGGGAAAAATTTAATCTCCTTCACTCATTCTTAGTAGCAAACTATAGCATCCAAACACCTATGTATGACACTGTTCACATTTTGGAGATTGTCCCAAACCTATATGATACAACTTAGTTTTAATAATCTAAATAAATCAATCTGATTTCTCAGCTGAATCCTATAGAATTCACTGACGAAATGTATGTTTTAACCAAGAACATAAGAAATGTTTTATGTGAATTTAACAACTTAATTCTATCTGTAACATATTTGATGTTGAATTCAAATAACACTTTTAGTTCAAATACAATTGCTCATTGTACTTCAGATAGGAGAATGATTTTACAGAATCCAGTATTTATATGTATAGTTACTTCATAGGTGCTTATGAAGACTTACATGTATTACCAAATCTAAAGAAAGAGTAGCAGTAAAAAAATTGTTAAATATATTTTAATGAAAAATATTATAATGCTATGTGATGGGTAGAATTGCTCCCCTTGAAGAGCAAATACATAGACGTTACCTACCACTCAGAATTAAATCTTTTACAGTACATTACGATTGAGCAAGACAGCTTACTAATTATGGAAAAAAAAAAAAAAAAAAAAAAATCACCTATGCAGGATGAGTTCAGCTGAAAAAAGAAGGCTGAAAAGAAAGTTACTCTTTGAGCCTTGGGAATTCGCTCCTTTGCTCTTTCCACTCCAATCATATTCAGTGGGCTGGGCAAAAGCCATTAAGTCTCGTTCCTTCCCTAGAATCACAGGGAAATTCTTCTATTTCTCATCAGTGCTAAAGCTGAATTGTAAAGCTCTTCACTTCTGCATGTGCAACTTTGCTGTTAGATCAGGGGCCTCTTAACTCTGCCCTTCATCTGAAAGCTATAGGCTTGCTGGCTCATGCGTTCACTTGCCTTTTGTCCTCCAGCTGAGCACTAGGAGAATTTGTATTTTGGCTACATCACTGACCGTAAGAAGCTCCCAAGGTGCTACCAGAAGAAACATTTTAAATTGCTAAAATAAAGTGGGATTCCCACTGCACACAAAAAGAAGCTGTATTCGTGTATAATTATAGGAATACGACCTATTTTTTCTACTCAGGATCTGATCAGTAGGTTTGCAAAACAGCATTACTTCCTAAGGGAGCTTATTCTTATTCTAGATCATTTCTTAAATTAGGATAAAAGAAAAAAAAAAGAAGTACATTAAAATCACAGAATATTACTTTTTCATTATTTAATATTGTTTCAAGCAATCTACTATCCAGTATAAAATATTATTTCAATGGCCAATACTTAAATAAATAAAAATAACCCCAAATTCTATAACATGTATTTTGGCTATAATTTTATTACCTTTTGATCCCTTTTGAATAGCAGCTGCACCTGTCTGCTGTCTGATATAGTTTGCAATGTACATAATTTTTGGGTAAGTTATTTTACCCCAACCGGTGTGCAGCCATTAAAAATATGGAACGTCTGTGAGAAATATTAATATTTTCATTTACATCCTTGTATTTAACAGTTCATTCTACAAACAGCTGATAATTATTTGTGTGACTATCTGGACAGTAAGATAGTGTCCCCCCCTCTTTTTTTTTTTTTTTTTCTTATTTTTTTCATGCTTTTCTGACCTTATTTATTAATTTACTTACAATTTCCTATGTTGTTAGGGAGAATAACATCTGTGTCTACTTCTGGATTGTCAATCAATCATTAATCAGAAAAAAAATATCCAATGATAACAAAATCATATGATGGTGAATAAATTGCAAAATAACATAAGAAAACAGAATATCTTTACATATAAAATTGCAGCTGTTGATGTCATAGTAAAAAAAAAAAAAATCTCAGTAGTAACTACAAAAAAAATTCAAAGAAACCAAATAATCAGTTAAATAAGAGTAATATACTGATACAAACAGAGGAGAAAACACATAGGAGATACAAAGATAATATAAACAGAGTTGATAATTAAAAGAAAAAAAAACCACAAAACCACACACACACACATAAAACGCCCTCAATCTTTAGTTTTCTTTTCATTTTTTATTTTTCCTTTTGCTTTTCCAATCATAGTATTCAATCTTGTATTGGTGGTGAATATTACCAGCTGCCTATCAAAAATTATTAAGCTTATTATCTTCTCAAAGATGGATTATCTTGCACAGTTTGCCTGTAACCATATATGGTTTAAATGACTTCTAACTACTGTGTAGATAGACTTGAAAAAGAAGAAATCCACATTTGTTACTAATTACTACT